ATATTCCCCAGGAAGTTAACCAACAAAAGTAGTGTGATGTTCCTTTGCTTCACAAAGTACAGATAATGATTTAGATGAGCGTGCCCATTTTCTACATGACTCATCTAAAGAGTCGAGTTATGGGCTTCACGTGTCGTCATCTATTGATTTGGACACATCACTTTATGATGAAAGCTTACCCATTGTAATAATCCGTCTGGGATCACTTCTTTGTCAACCCTTGCCCTTGCGTTGTCAATGTAGATAAAGGACGCTCCTTTGCTTCTGTGAGGAGATATTGAAGATTTTCAACTGATTTCAAAAAGGAGGTGTGATGTTTGTTACCACAGAAATTTATAAACTGATTTGAAAAAAAAAAAACATTTTTACACTGGTTTTGATTTAGCTTCCACGAGCTTAATTTTGACTTTAATCTGATATAAGCAGCATAAATATATCATTTTTTTACAATATACAACTGCAACGTTTTATACCAGCCCACCTTTGACGAGGAGTTATCACAGTTAAATTCAAATTGAAATGAAATTGTAATCATAGAGGTTTTGAAAGCGATATTTTCTTGGGTATTTGAGAGCTTTTATAGAACATATTCAAGACATATTCAAGGTGCAAAGGAGAATAACATGATACGAATATAATTTATATTCAAATAGATAATAGCTCTCACCGACCTCGATACCGAAACTTGCATTTTGCTTCTTCACTTTATTTTGAATTCCACATTGTTGTGGTTGGATACTTAAAGAATACTTGATAAGAAAAAGAAAAAGAATATTTACATCTTATGTTATACATTATTTTAATCAATTAATAAGACTATTGCAGTTCACTACTGGACATAGGCTTCATCAAGGGAGGCTTAGTAATGATCAATTCAGGAGCCGTGATAGCTCAGTGCTCCGGGTGCTCAATAAACGAACACCCGAAAAAAAAAATCGACGACCCGATTGGCGCAGTGGGTACATGCCTCTTGCGAGGGTGTGGGTTCGATCCACACTAATGGAAAAATATTTTGTGATGAACATGGTGTTTTTTCAGTGTCACATATGTAAGCACCAACTTACATATTTATAGTATGTATTTATTTACAAAAGAAAAGTGTTTAAGTATGTTTATCAGTTATCTAGTACCCATAGTACAAGTGTCGCTTATTTTGGGCCTAAAGAACGTTGTGTAAAAATGTTTCATAAATATTTAATAATAATAAGAATAGGAAACTAGCAACTTGAGTTCGAATGCCGGTACCGGCACCAATGAAATTGTTAATTTTAAGTGCTCATTTATCATGTGCTCGGGGGTGAAGGAAAACATCACGTGGTAACCTGTACATTTTCGAAATAATAATAAAAAATATTTTGAAGATCTATCCGCATTGCGTTCACGTTTTGGACTATGCCCTAATACCCTCTGTACGGAGGAGGTCTTTGCCTAGCAGTGGGACATATATAGGTTGTTGCTTTACTGTTTACTACTTTGATCAATTTAACGTGATATTAGTTGAACAATTGAAATCTTTTATAAAACGCTTAGATTTGAAACACAAAAGAGAACAACATGAAAATATATTCATCACGTAACTCTCCCTGACCCCGACACAGGGACTTGCATTTTTCCAACTCGCCCCTATTGTTAAATTTCGCAACGTCGTCGAATACCTTCAGACTATTTTATTTGGAATTATGTATGCACTCGAATAAATTGCATGAAAAATGCATATGCGAGACATTTTCTAGAATCCTTCAAATGATTTTGTGGTATCTTCCATATGGACTTTAAAACGGCTTGACGAAGTTTAATGAAATTTTCCGGCAATCTTCAGAGGGTGACCTTGTAGAGTTTGGTTGCGATGGGATCAACAGACATTTAAGGTAATTAGCGCTCCCCGTGTGAATTCAATAGTAATAAATAAAATAACAGTACGTTATGAATTACTATTTTCAAATTGAAATGAGTTATGCCCGGTTTCTGAAACACTGATCATGGTAGAAGTTAACTAATCAGCTGTCGAATGGCTTTTAAAATAATATTTAAGTTAAGCCAAAAGGGTGGTCAAACTCTGTGAATTTATCAGAATGGTCTTCTTAATGATCAGAATATCTAGTCTTTTATATTAAGCTCTCAGTTTTCGGTACTTAGGTATGTTAATTAATATAAATTTTTGAACTTTCCAGAATTTACGCAGACCGCCTTTCTACCACAGAACATGCAATCCTAATAATACAGTAATGACCTTAAATTCTCAGTCACGTGTTACAGCTATAAAATTCCTTTACGCCTACCAGCCTCCCCGAGCAAACATCTCAAGGCCTCTTAACAGAACTCAAAGTGGAATAGTTGTGCAAATGTACGCGAACCTTCAAATCAAGGACAAGCAATAACACTGTGACCTTTTTATACATGACATTACTTTAATGAGTGAATTTAAATGATCAATAATAAACACACGAAAAGAAGTTGAGATTGATTAGAAATGTTTCCGTTTTTAAAAATAGATTTTGTTTTTTCAATATCTTTATAATAATGTGAAAAAAATTACAAAAAAGAGATTGCCTACGGAGTTTCTTTCGCCTGTTTCTTCTCCGTTAGAGGAACGCCATTACGAAACTGTGGTAGATTTAAAAAATGACTATCGATAAATGAAATGTATATTTCTTATTTCGATGAATAAACGATTTGATTTCATAATGCTGCATCTGTGCTATATTATACGAGCTCTGAGCAATATCAGGATGTAATGTAAAAGATGTACAGTATGAAAAGTCCTTATACACGAATAAGTTCTTGTACACGATTAATCTGCATAAGCTCTTGTTAATACCAAAGCTATTAAAAAAAAAAACGGCCATTACTTTAAATTTAACTAGCGACCCGGCATCGCACGCGTGCCATGTATTATAGACAAACCTTCCTCTTGAATCACTCTTTCTCAGTAAAAACAAAACCGCATCAAGATCTGTTGCGTAGTTTTAAAGATCTAAGCATACATAGGGACAGACAGCGGGACGACTTTGTTTTATACTATGTAGTGAAGATGTATAAAAGTGTAGTGTATATAAGTGTAATGTAGTGTATAAAAGTGTGGTAGAGCCGCGAAACAGCCTTCGCTGACCGTCCGTCCAGTACCAAGATCTCAAGAATACCGGCGTGTAGTGGAAGAGTTATACTTCTGCGTTTCCTCTTATGACTGAGATAGTGTGGTCCCACTTTATTTAAAGGTGGCAACGCGTTTGCGACCCTACGGGAGTTGCAAATGTCCATGGGTGGCGGTCGCAATAAGAATTAATTGGATATCTAATATTAAACTGAAAAAAAAAAAAAACACATGTAGTTCTCCACGCTTTAAATTGAAATTATATATAATAAAATGTAGTTTGAGCAGTCAGGTATTGATTGATTGAGATAGATTGGGGAGTTACTCAGGAAACTATATTCAGTAAAATGTATGTTCGTATGGGAAAAACCGAGAATTCACGAAACAACACGCAATCCTCGTGAGCTCAATAAGTTCGTTCGTCTTCTTCAATATTATTACGGTATTAAATAAAGCGATTAAATAATTTTATAGTCGATTAAAAAATGGAATTGCACGTCGCTCATTCTTTCTTTTTCTTCTTCTTTAAATGTTTGGCTATCCGAAGCGTTAAAATGGAAATTACGATTTGTGAATTTCTAGGGGAAATGATTTGTCGGCGTATATTTGCCGCGAATATATGTTTAGATTTTGGATTTGCTTGGTTGGTTGAACGTACCAACTGATTTCTTAAATGCAAAAATCAATTTCATGTCCCATTTGAAACTTTTAAAGTTATAAAATATATCGAATGTTCTCCCTCGATCGGTCTATCTAGTTTTAGTCCATTCGGGCTAATAATGTAGTGAGATATAGTTCTCTGATGCCCTAGCCACGTCCATCTTATTAAGATTCACAAAGTTTTAAAGTTGAATTCACAGTGATCAGTTGAAGGTAGACGTAGAAGGTTATTTAAATTAGGAATCACAGTAGACGTTTTCATATTAGATGTTTTTTGTGACTTTCTCTCGATAGGCTTAACTATGTTTTTAATATTATTTTCTTTTTCCGAATTGCGGTGGGAAATTAAAGGGATCAGAGTAATATATTTTTTTACTTTATCCCATAATGACGATTATTAGTATTAAGGAATAATATGATAATATCACCAAACAAATGCAATATAACTGAAAGCTTAAAGGGTTAATATAACCATATCCTTTACTGAAAAATCCGTTAACCATCCCCAACGCTATGCTCCGTCCTCATCGACCCGGTCGAGGAAGGGGAATCTAGTACTTCGGTGAAAAATCCAACAACTGAAAATCCACGTAGCACCTTTATCTGCGAATACAAAAAGAATAAATCAAACAAATGAATACTTAGACTTAAAACATTTCGTGCGCATTATTTTTTTTTTAAATCACTTCCTTTATTTACGATAACATTATCCTGTGTTGTAATGACGTTTTAAAAACATACATTTCACGTGAACAAACACCCACATGCGAAACAACTGCCAGTGGATCTCACAAACATTTTTCCCGTGTGTGAATCGAACCCATGACCGCCAACGCCGAGCCAATACCTTGGCAACTGCGCCACGGAGTCATCAATTAGCATGAGTGCAGATAAGATGGGTAGCTTGACAGACTGTCACTCCATTTGACTAGGGTTTTGTCACAGTGTAAATAATCTAAGGAGAATTGGAATTTAAACAGACATTGAAACCTCATTCTTGAATTTTAAAGTTGACTTGACTCTCTACAATTACAAAGTTGAACAATTCAGTGGTAACATTTTTGGGGTGGTGTTTTTAAATAATCAGTACCTTCAATCTTTATTTTCATTTAAAAGTCTTAAAACATCGACATTTGGTAAGTATTAAAGTCGCGTTAAAGAGTTTTTATACAATATATATAGAGTTTGCTTACATTAAATTAAGAAAACTAATAATCGAGGTCACCAACTGAATTTTACGTTGAATTTAACAGGACGTGGAAGCTGAAACAAAAAATACATATCTGAGACTACAAAAAAAGAAGAACTACAGTTTGTATTCGTTGGCTGTAAAAATTTACTGACATACATTTGTTTCTGAAATATATAGAAAAAATATATACATAAATTATACTAAACGTTAATCGGTCTTTGATCCAAAATTCGATTTAAAAAGTAAGAAATACGGAAAATCTTAATATGATCTATTTTACCTGATCTCTACTTGAATAATCCGTAGCGCAATTGCCAAGATATTGCCTACAAGGCCAGGAGCTGTGGGGTTTGATTCCCACACGGGACAACTATGACCCGCAGATAATAAAGTAGTTAGATAAGGGCAATGATATAAAAATAAAATTAACTGCTCAGTTGCCGTCACTTTTAAGCAAAAGGACGTTAAGTACGCACATTAGTAACGATTAAAGACCGTAATTGGAGGGAGTTTTTCCTCACCTTAACTTTGACTCTGCGAAAAAAGGAGTTGTGTACAATAAAATTTTTTCAGGGCTCCTTATAACACTCAGAAGTTATATCGAACTTAGATTACAAAAATATTCCTTCTCAAATTCCTTAATTTGTTGTTTAAATAACCGGAGCTTCATGAGTTCCTATAAAGATTCCTTTATAGGAACTCATGAATTCCTTAAGCCCAAACACGCAAATAACTTGACCCAAATGATTATTAACGGAACGCAAAGTGAAATAGAAAATGTACTGTGAACCCAATGATATAATATACAAATACGAGGTAGATAAGGCACTGTACACACCGAATTTTAGGAATTCAAATTACACAAATTGGTGTAATTATATTGCATTTCTATTGACTACTATCTCTTCTCTTATCATACTTTATATATTATCCATCACATTCACTTATGAATGTCATATAATGTTAATCGGAACAATTTTTATATGTCGCGCAGTATGGACATGCGTCATCTATATTATTAAACATAATTGCTATGAACCCTCAAATAGAGGCCTCTAAGTAAATAATCCTTGGTCCTGTTGAATATAGGGCATTTCTTTACTGCATACATTAAATTATTCATTGCTACCCACACGCAACTAGAATATACCGAATGTAAGTACATTTTCTCCATTGAACAAGTTCCATTACTTTTAGAACTAGACGTGAGTTTTCAGAACAAAATTGTTGAAATTTTATGTATATTTTAGATTGAAATTCAAATTTGCATAAGGATTTCTTGAATTCTGAGAGCAAAGTCAGTCAAGATAAAAGGCATGATTTGGATTGAATTAATTTTAAGTAACAGCGTTTAGAAGTCCTACTGCCGGGAAAAGAAATAAAAACAAAAAAACACACACACACACACACACATATAGGTATACATATATAATTATATATATTACTATTATTTCGAAAGCGTGCAGGCTTCCTTACAATGTACCTGAACAATGATCTATCAAGGTTCACGTATCGATATTACAACGCCAAAAATACTTAGTAAGGACTTGGATATTTTATTACAATAGTTTGTTCCCCAACTCTTTCTGCGTTTTCGGCACTAGTTACGACCGCAAGTCAAGGTATTATGGTAATTTATAGTACTTAAGATTTAGTCGTGTCTGTATTATTAATATTACATTATATTCATTGTAAAATTTAATTAAACAATAGTATTATAATTAAATAGATAAAAAAAAAGCAAAAACGAAACGTATACGAGGAACCGAAATTCGAAGGAAATTCTTGTGTCACAGACTTAATGTTTATACTCGTCCGAAACGGCCTGACCGATTTTGATGAAATTTTATATGTATATTCATTAGGTGTTAGAATAGACTACCCGAAAACAAACGAAGTCCGCGTAAAAATGTCAATGCCTTTACGATATGAGCCGAGAAATCTAGACGTGTTAATAATGTCTGTAGTTGGACTCGCGCATTAACCATTACTTACGGCAAAAAATCATATCCTTCTTTTGGCGCGTAAGGGAAAAACAATGAGTGTAAATTTTTACGATGCGCGCGCATACCGACACGAAAAACCGACACCCTGAAGTTAGCTAGACATCTACGTAAGAACTACTGTATTCACGGTTCATGAGATACTTTCGAGCTTGGTGACAGACGGAAAAAAAATTTTTGACAGACGCCAAAGAAGTACATCGCGTTTACATAAGTACACACACTTTTTCTTTTATTGTTTTTTTAGTATTTTTTGTTAGCGGCACCAGAAATTCATCATCTGTAAAAATTTCAACTGTCTACTCGTAACTATTACTTAGAGATACAGCTTGACGGTAGGGTTCCCGTTTTACCCTTTGGGTACGGAACCCTAAAAACGGCATAAAAAGACCCGAAGTAATTTCAGCGAGTTTCGCTCTTGTCACTCGATAAAATATTACGTGAAACTTTCTGCTTCTGTCGAACCCGAACGCAATTGTCCAACTTCTGGGATATTTCTGTAGGTCGCTTGTTAATTACTTTTGGGGATGGGTTTTTGTTTTTTTATGGAATACTTTTCCCTTTATGTCCCTTTATTATATTGCATCCCGCTGGGGCAGAATAATTTATAATTTTTATTCCAACGAAATGAAGTGTTTTGAAACTGTATTGAATATTGTAATAAAATTTTAAAATTCACGCCCAAACTACTCAACCGATTATGATGAAACAGTACATATATTCTTAGAAGTATTTAAAAGGATATAGGATTCTTTTTATAAAAAAAAGATATTTTTATTTAAGGGCTTCGCGAGCAAAGCCGCGGCCAAACGCAACTATATTATAAAAACACGTTGTCCACCATTTTATATATATCTTCCTGAAGTGACTTTTAAATATTTTTTAGATACCTACAATCTATAGAAGCCATTGAAAAATTTATTGCCTTTTTATCGCGTTTGTATTTATGTGCGGTCATATAGTTATGTTTATATACACCACTAAAATACAAGTCAATAATACAGCCATGTTCTCGACCTTTTGACATTGTAAGAAATAAGATAAATTGAAGCATCATAATACTCTGATGATTGTTTAAAATAATAAAACATCGTTTTAAAAAAATATTTTCAATAAAAAAAAAAACAAAACAGAAAAAGGTTCGGAAAGAAGCAATTTAACTTTTATGCATTTTAAACTTCTTGGTGAACGAATTTGAACTTGAAACAATAATGCAACGTTACGCAGCACGTTCTTACTGTGATACATAAACTTTGTATTTCTTGTCGATTTATAGATTTGGCGACAATTGAGTTTAGGATTATATTTTGAACAGACGCGTGTGATTTACTCACTCTGATACTTTACGGATTATCTATGAGATTGAATGTATATCCCATCTTTATGAAGGAAATTATCTCCATTTGAATATAACATTATATGTTGTCCATATTGACATAAATCCACTAGTCTATGACAAATTTAACGTACCTTTAGGGTAATGTTTAACTTAAAGGATTTAATTAGAAACTTTGAAGGAGTTAATTAGAAATTTAATTATTCGAAGGAATAAATTAGATTTAGCATTAAACAAAACTTTACACGAAGTTATGACTACTTGGTGGAGCTTATTATTATAATCTTTTTGTTTCGACACTTCCCCTTAAGTTCATATAGATTCTTTGTTACAGTGCTATTAGGTCAGTGTCCTAATGTTTTTTGGTTTGTCCTTCAATCATTCTGCAAAGGATTAATGTTATTTTCCACAAAAAAAAAAAAAAAACTGTGTAACCGAAGAATAATATTTATTGTAGCTTATTTTTATTTCAGTAAATTGTAACAGGATATCTAATAATACCATGAACTCCATCTGATATTTTACCTATTTTATTTAACATAAGTTGTATACTTAAGCCCAGGTGGACTAGCCCTACTGCTCTGGAGCTTCGGCTCGAGCCGTCACTTTGTTTTCCTTTAATGACCAACTTTCATGTACATTTAGACATCTTTATGAACACAATGTTTAAGAAAAATATATACATATTTATATAAATAAAATAAATATAAACAAAGCAATTCGTTAAACAAAACATGGAATGTACTGAAAATGACGTTCTTGAATTCATTTAAAATAAAATGTTTACCAGTCCGCAAATTAACGGTAGACTAATTTTACGGAGAACAATCCAATTCATTAAATTAGCTGGGAGTGTCCCCTTGGAAATTTAGCGCATTAAAATTTCTAGAACGGGCTTTCTAACAAAGGTGACCCGACCTGCTGACTGTTTATAAACGTAATATTTTCCACATTATTTTTGTTTTGTGTAAAAGAGAACTAATAGCTTAATAAAAATGATTAGAAGACTAAGTTGCTGGCTCAGCAGGCTAAACGGGACAGGTGATCCAATAAAAACCCACGCTTCACCTGTCTCGGAACACGAAACACGAAACGACACGGGAATAAGAGGACGTAATCCACGACCCTGGCGCGCATCTCACATGCATTTTTTAGGTCCCCTGTTCCCTAGTGCAAGGACACTTGATCTAGTCATTTGGTGCCGCGCCAGTGTTATAAGCACATAATCTTTCACATGCTCCGTATTTAGTGTCATATGCCTGCCGTTTGGGGATTCTCGACCAGGGGAGGAGAAGTGTCTGTGTACGATATTCTACTGGGTTTAGGCGACTTACCGCAGCAGTCCTCCTGCAACCTCGTGTCTTGGAGTTGGCTAAAGAGAGCCCGGGCAAGTCGGCACAGCGCAGATATTAAAGTCCCGCAGAATATATCGCACAAGGGTCCATAGGTCACTGAGCACAGTACTTCCAGGGTGAAAGAGATCTCGGGAAGAATATATTGTAATAGCACGCAAAAACTTCGGCGCGTACGCGGCGATGACAGCAAATCGAATCTTTCACTGACTCGACTGCCGCTAGTTTGTGTGGCGCTAGTAGTAGCCGTAGCTCACACGTTAAGGATTGAATTTAGACATAACGGCTGATCGCCAACCCAGTGAAGAAAAAAAAAAATAAGTAAATAGCATTAAGATACTCCAAATTGTGTCATCTTATTAAGTATGTTTAGAATGACTATAAAATTATATGAATTAAACTACTCTTGTTCCAGTACGGAACATGCCGCTCACCTTAAAAGAACGTAGTTTCTTTTAAAGTACTAACCTAAAACTATAAAATGAAAATAAAGAGAAAAATAAAATAAACTTTAGTATTAATAGACAGACTTTTACAACGGGTCGTTTGTAAAAAGTATTCCCACTTCTTAGCGTCACTACACGAATGACGTGGTCAGAACCGGGATGAACAGCGTGTACGCGAGCCAGTTTCCATTGCAGCGGTGGTAGATGCTCGTCGCACACAATGCCTTCACGTATAACCGAATTGTGGTCACGAAACCATTTATTGCTCTGTTGTATCTCATGAAGATACTCTCTACTCCACCTCTTCCAAAAATGCTGGACAGACTGTTGTATCCAACGCCATCGTGTTAGACGGGTAGGATTCTCATCTATTAAGGACACATCAGGCAAGGCCGTTAAGGGCTCACCGATTAAGAAAGTGAGATGGTGTCAAGGGAAGTGGATCTATGGAGTCCGAACTCATAACGCAGAGAGGGCGCGAATTTAAAACGGCTTCAATCTGACACAGAAGTGTGTGCATTTCATCATAAGTTTGAGTGCGCGTCCCTACTACTCTATATAAATGGTGTTTAAAGCTCTTGACACCAGCCTCGAAGAGTCCACCAAAATGACTGGCGTACGGTGGTTGGAAATGCCACGTAATCCCCTGCTGAAGGGTTTGTTGATTTAGAGCTAGTTGCACTGCATCATTACTTAAAAATGTATATAAGTCCTTTAGATAATTGTTACAGCCAAGAAAGTTTCTTCCACAGTCCGAATAAATATCCGTGCATAAACCCCGACGTGAAGTGAATCGACGTAGGGCGGCTAGAAAGGCCTCTGTGGATAGTTCCGAGACAAGTTCGAGGTGCACGGCCTATACGCTCATACATATGAATACCGACACCCAACGTTTTACTATCTTAGCATTACGCACCTTGTTGGCACGAACAAAGAATGGCCCGGCATAATCTACGGCGGTTTTCACAAAGGGTCTCGCAGGACGAAGTCTTGACGCAGGAAGTAGTCCCATTCGGGGCTGATTGGGTCTCGGACGTGCACGAGAGCAGCGGATACAGCGGTGTATGCGCTAAGGCACGATGTCGCAACATGACAATATCCAGTAGCGCTGCAGTAGCAAGTATTGGACGGTCTGTGGTCCGGCGTGTAAATGATTCAGGTGAGCATCATCTATGATGAGATTAGTTAAATGATGTTTTTTAGGTAAAATAAGTTGATGTTTAGAATCAAACGGCAATAGTGATTTGTGGATTCGACCACCTACACGTAATAAATTGTCACTATCCAGAAATGGCGTAAGACGTCGCAATTGATTTGAAGGTAATTTACCTTGAGGAATGTTTATAATATCGTCCTTAAAAACCGATCGTTGAACTAAATAAATTAAACGATTTATTGAAAAATTGAACTCCGGTACTGTAATATGTTTTGGAAACGATTTTAAGCGTCTTTTACATTTGTTATAAAACCGAAATATAAGTGCAGTAACACGAACGAGTTTACCCAGTGACGAATATCGTGTAATTAATTCAACCTCTCTTTCGAGTAACACCGTAGAAGTATTAGAACTAATGGAAATGTTACGTTTTTCCTCACATGTCTTTGTAGTTTGTTGTTTAGCAGGCCAATGGTTATGACTAAAACGGAGCCATGTCGGACCATGGTACCACAAGTCATGTTGCACCAGCGCAGCAGGTAGCAAACCACGTGACGCGGCGTCGGCAGGGTTATCTGCTGACGGGACGTGGCGCCAGCAACTTACGGGAACGCGCGACAGTATATCGCTTATACGATTAGACACGAACGTTTTCCATTCGTGTGGTGATGAACGAAGCCACGCAAGCACTATGGAAACGTCGGACCATGCGTAAACATGATCATAAGTGATACGATCACCGTAAGTACGGATTACTCTATCCAGTAATTGTGATAGCAGCAGCGCTGCCATCAGTTCGAGACGAGGGATAGTGAGGCGAACACGAAGCGGTGCTACGCGTGTTTTAGCTATGATTAGATAAGTATAAATACCGCCATCCTTATTTATAAGGCGTATATATACACATCCTGCATATGCCTTCTCAGAAGTGTCTGCAAATCCATGAATTTGAATAAAACCTGTATTTTGACGAAATATGTGACGCGGAAACGAAACTTGGGATAAGAGAGGTAATTGCTTAGTGTAGCATGTCCACGAATTAACTATGTCATGGGGCGGAATATCATCCCAACCCACATTAGCCATCCATAACAGCTGGATTAAATGTTTGGCATACAAAGTAACCGGTGATAATAACCCGAGCGGGTCGTATAGTTTAGCTATCTCGGAGAGAATAGCCCTCTTGGTGCATTTATCAGTGGTGACGTGAACCTTGAAATTAAAGTTATTGGACGCCGGATTCCACTGTAGCCCAAGAACCTTAACCTTTTCGTCATTTTCCATTTTAGCAAAGCAAACATTTTCCGGCCGCTCACCATGAGAACCCTGGGGCACGAGTGCAGCGAGTATCGCTGGCGAATTACTATGCCACTTACGTAGTTCAAACCCGGCCGTCTTGCATATGCCGATGAATTCCTGCTGGAGAGCCAGAGCTTTAGCTTCTGTGTCCTCACCAGAAACTATGTCATCTACGAAAACGTCATTTAACAAAACAGGAGAAGCGCGCCTAAAGCGATCGGCCTCGTCGTGAGCAAGCTGCCTTATTGTTCGCAGAGCCAGATATGGAGAGGAACTCACGCCGAAAGTGACTGTACAAAGTCGATAGTCACGTATAGGTTCTTCTTGCGATCGGCGCCATAAGATACGTTGGAAGTCCTTATCACATTCACCAATAAGTATATTCCGGTACATCTGTTTAATGTCTGCAGTAAACGCAATGGAATGAACACGAAATTTTAAAAGTACATCTTTAATGTCCAAGTGAAGTTTAGGACCTATGAGTAAAACGTCGTTAAGCGACGATCCACTCGTAGTTCGACAACCCGCATCAAATACGACGCGCGTGCGAGTTGTTTCACTGGATTCCTTGACCACGCAGTGGTGCGGAATATAATAACTAGAACCCGCTGTAGGCTGTCCGTCGACGGGCTCCATGTGATTCAGGTCGACGTACTCTTGGAGACAAGAGTGATAGTCAGCCTTCAATTGGGGGTTGCGTTCTAGTCGATATTCAAGCTTACGCAAACGCGCAAGTGCTATTTGTCGCGACTCACCAAGAGGTGGTGGATCGGCTTTGAACGGGAGAGCGACCACTTATCGCCCAGCCTCGTCCCTACTATGCGTCTTTTGAAAAAAGGATTCGCATAGCTCTTCATCGGGAGTGTAACTCCGCTTTTCCGAAAATGACTCCAGCTCCCAAAACCTTTGAAGATTGTCGTTGTCAAACGAGCTATAACATACTTGGAGTGAGGTTGGAACAATCGGCTCAACTATTACCTTTCCCAGTAATAAATAACCAAACACACTATTCATCGCTACTGGTGAACTCGATGGGCCGGTAATCACGTTACCTAACAAAATATGGGATAGTACATCCGCTCCGAGCAACATTTCTACCGGCTGAGGAATATGAAAATTGGGATCAGCTAAAGTTATATTTGTTAAGTGTGACCACCCCGTAAAGGGTAACTGTACACTTGGCATTTTTAAAACTAACGCAGGTAAATTTATCGCATCGACTGGCAGAACGGGTTGGTTCTTACCCTTAGTAGTGATAAAGAACGAAACTAAGCCTTTAGGTTGTACAGGTTCGGTGTCACCTATACCGAAAACCGGAATTTTAATATGTTTACGTACTAAACCTAAACGTTGGACGCAAGCCTCAGTGATAAAAGACCCTTGGCTACCCGTGTCAACAATACATCGAACAGTCGATACGTTCGCTTCCCCGATACATACATTGGGCCATACGAGCATACGAGCGCCGTGGACAACAAAACCGTGCTCGTACTAAGCAAAGGCGCATTGGACGCGCAATTATTATGCACCACGCTGTCATTGGCAGATTTCACGTGAGAGGACTCAACAGTGATAACGCCATTACGCTCCTCCGAAGGAGTGAGTGGGAAGGCATTAGGAATGGTCGTTTCGCTTATGACCGAATGCGACTGCGTTGAAAAGTGAATTAAACTATGATGTTGTTTACGACAAAAACGACATACAAAATTCGATCTACAATTTTTTACGTCGTGTCCGACGATTAAACAATTATTATAAATGTTTTTGTTTTGCACAAACAAATATCTATCGTGTGGAGATAGATTAAGAAACTGCGAACACTTAGATAATATATGTGGACCGTTGCAACGCAAACAATTCTTACTTTTATTGCTATTGAATTTGGAGCGAGTATGCTCTGCAGCCGGATTATAGTGAGCCGCGAAAGAACGTCGAGCGGTAGATATCGAACCAGCGGCGCCCGCGCTGTTGGTCCGACTCGAGTATTGTACGGAACTACCCACATTTGCCGAATATTTTTTAGTGGAGTTTGAGATTGTTACAATTTCATCGGCGGTTATTTCTCTTTCTAGAAAAGTAATTAACATGTTGACGTCGGGAATTTCCGATGGCTTTAACAATGACCGTTCGAAACTTTTTCTTGTATTAACCGGAATTTTACGCAATAAAATGTGTAGTAGTATGAAACTCCATTGATTTATAGGAAAATTCATAACTTCGAGAGCCTTAATATTTTCTTGATAAATATTCAATAAATTTCGCACACTATGAGCACTCGACCTCTCAGAACAAGGTTCAATATCAAATATTCGATCAAGATGTTTTGATGCAATCATTCTTTTATTCTCATAGCGGGATACTAAAATATCTAAGGCTACCAAGTAGTTTTCGTCTGATATAGGTATAGACTTAATTAAATTATGAGGTTCATTTTTTACTGTTAGTAAATAAGTATGTAAACTTTTCCACGTCGTCGTAGGCATTGTTGTTATGTACTAACGAACGGAATAAATCATAAAACGACGGCCAATCCGTAGGATCACTGTTGAATTCTGGCAATGGTAAAATAGGTAGTGTTTTTCTACTGTTAGCTAGCATCATAGCATCGGAGGATTGACGAGACTGACTCAAACGACTTCGCCGTTCATCCCCTCTTCTTTATATCATTTAAATGTGCAACAATGGAATAGTTCAAATCATTAAAATCATTACGTATCTTAATCTGGTCCTCTCTATTGAATGATTTTAATTTAATTAGCGTTTTTTCAATCTTTGTTTGAACTTTATTGAATTTTCTTTGATGAGCCGTTAAATCGGTAGTTCGCGCACGAAATTGTTGTTCATTTATCGCGGCGACCTGCAGAATGCGATTTAACTCGTCAATAATTAGATCTCTTTCGAAAATATCTTGTTCACAAGGCGATTCGTCGTCCGACATTTTGCGTTACAAAGATGGCCGGCTAGAATTCAACCGCTTGAAATGAGTACATAATACTGCAATATTTATTGAACAAGACGACACAAACTGGAGTACTTATGTATATAAATCCGGTTCGAATGATCAAAAATAATTATGTACGATATTCTACTGGGTTTAGGCGACTTACCGCAGCAGTCCTCCTGCAACCTCGTGTCTTGGAGTTGGCTAAAGAGAGCCCGGGCAAGTCGGCACAGCGCAGATATTAAAGTCCCGCAGAATAATTTTTTATTTTTTTTTTATTTTTATATGTCGCACAAGGGTCCATAGGTCACTGAGCACAGTACTTCCAGGGTGAGAGAGATCTCGGGAAGAATATATTGTAATAGCACGCAAAAACTTCGATGCGTACGCGGCGATGACAGCAAATCGAATTTTTCACTGACTCGACTGCCGCTAGTTTGTGTGGCGCTAGTAGTAGCCGTAGCTCACACGTTAAGGATTGAATTTAGACATAACGGCTGATCGCCAACCCAGTGAAGAAAAAAAAATAAGTAAATAGCATTAAGATACTCCAAATTGTGTCATCTTATTAAGTATGTTTAGAATGACTATAAAATTGTACGATATTCTACTGGGTTTAGGCGACTTACCGCAGCAGTCCTCCTGCAACCTCGTGTCTTGGAGTTGGCTAAAGAGAGCCCGGGCAAGTCGGCACAGCGCAGATATTAAAGTCCCGCAGAATATTTTTTTATTTTTTTTTTTATTTTTATATGTCGCACAAGGGTCCATAGGTCACTGAGCACAGTACTTCCAGGGTGAAAGAGATCTCGGGAAGAATATATTGTAATAGCACGCAAAAACTTCGATGCGTACGCGGCGATGACAGCAAATCGAATTTTTCACTGACTCGACTGCCGCTAGTTTGTGTGGCGCTAGTAGTAGCCGTAGCTCACACGTTAAGGATTGAATTTAGACATAACGGCTGATCGCCAACCCAGTGAAGAAAAAAAAAAATAAGTAAATAGCATTAAGATACTCCAAATTGTGTCATCTTATTAAGTATGTTTAGAATGACTATAAAATTATATGAATTAAACTACTCTTGTTCCAGTACGGAACAGTCTGTATCCTTGTCTCCGGCGGCTGAAATCTAGGAGGCAGTTAACAAAAGCAAATCACTAAGCAATTAGCTACACGGTGCTTACCAACTTAAATAACGTCTGATAAGTTTAATTGCGTAAAAAAATCCGTTAAATTACCAATTGCTGGTTAGGCAAAATGTTTTCGCATTCCATTATAACGATATTTTAATAGTTAAGTAAAGTAAATAAACAGCCTATGTCCCACTGCTGGACAAAGGCCTCCTCTGTATAGAGGTTAGAGATTAGAGTTAGATTTCACTTTACATAAAACAGGATAGAAAATGTTATTTAGTTTATTAGATACGACGAACGAATCCATTAGGTAATTAAACAGACTGTTTTTTGAAGTGTCAATACCCTCGGTGTGGGCGCGCTGTTAAAAGTAATATTAAATTTTTAATTGCATTTGGGGGTATAGGTGACGTGTATCGTGTACTATAATTATCACATAGTTTAATTTATTTGTTGTAATTAGTTAGAATTATGTCGAAAAAGATAGAGGGTACATTTGAATGAACAATGCAAGTAAAAAACCAACTCATGAATTTTTAAGAAAACACCATATTAAACGTTAAATATATCCATTTATCGGTGATATTTCACAACTACTTGATGGTTCTTTCTCATCCGACGTGATTCGTTACAAAAATAAAAAATAAAACCCATTTTTCTACAAATTTTAATTCAAATTATTATTAAAAATCTTACGTGTACCGAATATCAATTCGACCTATGGTTCCAAGATAAAAATCACTACAACCAGCGCCATCTATCCAGTACTAACGTGACTATGTTCGTCGGACTGATCATGTCGCCTTTTATATAATTATTTATTTATTTATTTATTTAATCTTTATTGCACTTAAAATTATAGTACAAAGGCGAGCTTAATGCTATACTGCATTCTCTACCAGCTAGCCCTAGGTAAAACAGAAAGAAAATGAATAGGGCAGTAAAGTAGAATTAAACACTATGCATATTTCGTATCAATTGGGCCAACGGTTCGCGATTTTTAGGTGAACATATATACACACATACATTCTCTTTTATATATATAGATCTCACAATTCGAAGTTTTAGTGCGACGTTTTAAATTGGGGGAAATTGCTATAACGTCGTACAGCGATAGCAAACACAAACAACTTTAACGATGCCGCGGCGTGCTTCAAACGATTCTCGCCGTGTCACGCGATACAATTTTCCGGGTAACCTTTGTCCGCCTTTATTGAAACCGAACGACCTCGGCGACCTTCTAGAGATTCTTTGTGGGGTACTCGTTGATTACATTCCGGGACGCTGGGATTCCGTTTGCGAGAATTTATAATACCATTTTCCTAGGAGTGAGTGTGTTTGTCCTTTTATGTGAGTTTATAGGTAATACCATTTTCCTTGGTGCTGTTTGAACTAAACTGGAAGGAGCTTGCAAGCTTAATTGAACGTTACGAAATATAGCATGACGAATATTATTAATTCTTATTATTATACTAGCGACCCGCCCCGGCTTGACACGGGTACATGTATTATACATATAAACCTTACTCTTGAATCACTCTATCTAGTAAAAAAACCGCATCAAAATCGGTTGCGAGTTTTAAAGATGTAAGCATACATAGGGACAGACAGACAGCGGGACGACTTTGTTTTATACTATTTAGTGCTACTAGCGTCCTGCCCCGGCTTCGCACGGGTGCAATGTAAATATTGAATTTCTTGGCTTTTCTCTACTATAAACGTTCCGCTGGAATCACTCTGTCTATTGCCGTACAAGCATCGGGAGCTACTTTGTTTTATATTATGTAAAGACTTCCTGCGTATGTAAAGATTACTGCGTATGTTGAAGTCTCTGCTGGTTCAGCGTTCTACGACCCCGACACCTATTTCTTTATGCATAAAATACCAATTGGTTCCGTAGAATACAGTTTCTGGGTAAACATAAGACAGTTTTCAATCCACAAGTCATGTACTTGTATAAGAGGTCTAACGATTTTACCATGATCCTAATATTTTAACTATTACTGAACGTGAATATTAACAACTATTATAACGACAAGCAGCACTAGTGGTTATATAACCGTCCGGGAACGCGGCCGAAATCTAAGTGACCACTCCTCCATGTGACCATATGTTCCTTGGCTCAAGTAGATAACGTCATATCCGGTATACAGTGTTGCCAGCGCCAACACTTGTGGATTCAAAATTTTATTAAACTTTATTAAAAAAAGGGAATTTTAAGATCGGTTCATAGATGACGAAGTCGAGAAGGTAACTAATATAAAGGAATACAACCGAATTGTGAGAATCTCCCCTTTTATGAATCATTTATTAATTCATGACCACTACATTGGCCTTATAAGAAAGTTAACAGATTTTAAATAATAGTGAAGCGGCGTACTATTTATCTTCTACGCCAATCTTAATTTATACGGTTCCGGGGGCGCGTTTGAAAGTGCGAGTCCACTTGCGTACTCGCTACACTACTGCCACGGCCAGACCGTAACTAAGGTCGACAGTAGTTTCGGAACCTGACTGTACGTCCGCCTCTTGTCTTACAGAGAGCTGCATTTTTTCTGTCTTGCAGATCATCTTTTGCTAATAATGCAGTTTCAGGCGGTCGACTGTGACTCTCTGTGTCGATCAGAAGGTTGCGTGTTCAATCACGTCGGGGTCACCAATGAAGCGGCGTACTATTTATCTCCTACGCCACTCTTAATTTATACGGTTCCGGGGGCGCGTTTGAACGTGCGAGTCCACTTGCGTACTCGCTACAGTAGTTTAAAAACAAGTAAAAAACACACTTTTGTACATAACTGTAGGTCGTGGGCTGGGAGAGAAATAAATTGCTCACTGAGTTTTAAAGCTGTTATATTTCTGTTCACTCACGACAAAATACAGATAGAAAAGTTCAGAAGGAATAACAGAGCAGAAGAAAAACAAGCACAAAGT